TACTCAGCAACTGGAAAAGGAATAAACAAAACCAGCTCACTTCTTCAAAGCCTTGAACATCTGAATTGTGAGCCCTAGTTTCCTACCTCCTGGTAATATTATACATTATTGCAAAGAGAAGTTTAGAATTCCTGCAGGGAAGAAAAAGTTCCTGAGCAATGGCCAGTGCCTGCACGGCACAGGCAAGGAGGATGTGAGCCCTCTTTAAACTCCAGCTGCAATTCGAGCAGCTCGACAAATCCTGGTTGCTGGGAAGCCTTTACACAGAATGTCCCAGCAAATACTTTTACCAGCTTGCTCTCTCCTCTTCCGAATTCAAACTGCAATTATAGGGATGACAAAATGGAAAAATAGATATGTATGCAGTAGCTGAGGAAAAAAAAAACCACAGTTAGCTTTGCACTGCTGAGAAATTATGCAGGACTCATTGTGTCTTTAACAAACTGGCTCTCAATACATATATTGTAATGTATCTTCATGACCCAAATATAGGAAGAGCATGACAATGAAACGTATGTTGGAAGTGTAATAAAGGAACTAATGCAGTAAAGTTGCTATATTTTATTAACAGAAAAAAAAACAATTAAAATGATATCCAGGTAGTAACTTTGGAACCAAATGTCATAGCTGTCTCTTTTGCTGCCAAAATATGTGTATTCTGTTCCTAACAGTCTCTTTCCCCAAGGAAAAATAAATGTATCTAAGAAATACTTGTTAGCAATGCAATTACAGGCTTAATTCCCCAACCAACTTCAGACATCATAAAAACAAAAACAAGCAGAAGCCCTTTGCAATAGCAATGGAAAAGAGACAGAAAAACACTAAGTGTTCAGAGGAAGATAATAATATATTTTTATAACAAAAGCTGACACACTCTTTGACAATAACATTTGAGAAGTCATTAGCATTTGTTTTTCAACTATACTGTCTTTTCCTTTTAAGCTACAGCCTAGAATGAAAAGCTTCTTCTAAGGGTAGGCTGTGTGCTACTCCTGAATAGGACTTCTGGGACACTCAGACACCAAAGTAGTTTGCCAGACTCAGAAAAGCAAAGCAGCTGTATCAAAATAACATTTCTTGGCATTGCTTACTTCTGAAGATCTGGTCCCTCCAAGGAACTTAATTAGAGCTGGGTTGTTTGGACAATGTGGACTCAACCATGAGAGCTAAGATGCTGGGAAGCTCATTCAGAGCAGTTCTGAAATGCTGGCCCTGAGAAAATAAGAGTTTTTTTAAAAAAGGTTTGAATAAATAAGATAAAAAAGGACAAAAAGTGCTAAACCTTACCTTTTCTGTGAACATACAGGTTAGATCCATATTCATATCACACCTTGGAGAAAGAAAATCTTCAAGAGGCCTGGCATAGGTCATGTGAATTTTGTAGCTTGTGCAAGGCTTGTGTCTGTGGTGTCCTTCAGAACTGCCATGCTGTGGTCCAGATTCACTCCACATCTCCTCACAGACTTACCAGTGTGTTCCCTGCCCAGCCTGGGCACTCTGGGCTCTCACTATTCATAGCAAGGTCTTGAGCTCCTTCAGAGATGCCTGGCTTGGGAAGTGTTGTCTCACACCATTGGCTTCACCAGGAGCCAAAGAGAAACTGAGTTTGGACACTTCCATGTGTGGAGAGTGTCTGTCTGATACTCCTGACCTGAGTCTCCAGCCACCATAGAAGAATTCCCACTTTGTTAGGTAACAGCATAAAGTTTTGCTGTTGAAGGTAATGGTGTACACCTCAAGATGGTACCACGCTATGTTCCTGCTAGATCCCCACTCCCAGTGCAAACTCAAATTTCTTTGACAAAGACCTGAAAAGTAAAAAGTCTTTTTCTCCCCAACTACTTTATATAATTTGAAATCCCCATCTAAGACATTCCAGAGGACTTCTACCCCTTGGTAGAGACATAATCAGTGGTTATCAAAAGTCTCCATTCTTTTGAAATATTGGCATTAAACCCAAGATAAAAATATTGAAGTTTAAAAATTCAGTATTTTAAAATATTGAACATTAACATCTTTTTAATAATTTTTCAATTGACTCTAAATCAGGTAGATATTTTCCTTGTGACAGTCACTTATAAAAGGTTACTGCATTGCTAGTTTCACAAGAAAAGGGAAGTGCTTTTTCTCTCAATTTGTCTTGCCTCCAGCCTTGGATCCCAAAATGACAGATGACTGGAGAAGTTCCAGTCGAAGGCACTGGAGCTGCATTGGGTGAAAAGGCATATTCTTGCTATAAAAGCAAAAAACTGTAATAATCAAGCCCCAGAAATCATAAATGCCTGGATCCCTGGGTTGCAGGCAATGCAGTACAGAGTTACTCAAGCTGATCTCAGAGAAAGGTAGAGGAGAACTTTGCAGATGATCTCTAAGATGTTTCATGCCTCGTAAAATTGACTGACTTTGCTGGCATTTGCAATTAATAGATGCAGTGAATTTCCCTCTGTACATTTAAGCTGTCAGTATCTACTCCCATAATGACAGGATGAAGGGTTTTATTTTTTCATTTTTAAAGTGTGGCTGATTAAAGTTGAAATGGGATCAAGGATACGTTTTTTTTACTGATGGAGATTTTGGATAATAATGACGAGAGGTTTTCATTTGCGAAAGCCAGTGTGATGCCTCACATGTCTGCATTGGATGCAAATTTTGAGAAATGTCCTTGACTAGGGTCATTAGAACTGGTATGATTGGATATGTGACATTTTTAATGTAGATTCAGAAACAAACTGCGTTATTATTGAAAGCTGAAGATGAATTTATTGAGATGGTCTGAATAATTTCTCTGAAGCAGAAATTCCACAGACAGCTGCTGTCTCTCTCTTAATGAGTTTCAGAGTCTGTATAAAGAGGAGACCCAAGTCTTTGTGGAAAGCTCTGAAGAGATTTCTTTCTATCCTGCCTCACAGCCTGTCTCCTGAGAAGCACAACCCTCAGCACTGACAACAATAAACACAAAACAAAGGTCTAGATTAAATGCTGGGAATGATCTATGGCTTTGTTTGCTGGCATGCACCTGAGGCTTGAGACCCTTTGCAAAATGCTGGAAACTCATCTATCTCACTAGCAAAAGTTACATCCTTCCAGTGGTTTGAAACAGAAACAGGCTTTATCTGTAGCCTTCTGAGGTGGATTTTAAATTTTCCTTAAACTGAGGGTGCTCAGACCTGATACTTTGGCTTAACACCTTGAAAAGACTGAGACGTATTATAAATCAGGAACCAGTCCAGGTTTACTTTTCAGACATCCCCAGTCTGTGACAGGATGTTGGTGTTTGGTAATTTCCAAAGGATAGATGAGTTCAGAAGCACGTTGCCATAATGGTGGTATCTACAGCATGGGGAGCCAGCAGAAGCCCTTGTTGTGTATGAATTACAAGTCTCTGTCAGGTTGTAGGGCACACAGCTGGAAAGGCTGCCTTCCTCATCCTTCCTCCCTCCCTCTTGGCTGCAGAATAAAATTGCTACTTAATGGCACTTCTGGGGTGGTAATTAACGCGGTACTTCTGCTTCGTAAGATTTCTGCAGATGCCCTGGATCCATACTATTCATCCTTGGACCTGAATCTCTTCTCAAACCAGCCTTGCCAGCCATCCACATGAAGTGTCAGGCACAACTTTAAAAAAGCAACATTAAAGAGGAACTTTTTAATGTTCAGAAGAAAGTAGGAAGCCCCAGGAAGGAGTCAGAAAATCAATCTCTTCCACCAAAGGGGCTTATAAGGGTGCGTAGGTGGGTATATGCACCCGGGAAAAGGTTCTTGAGAAAAGGACATTAGAGGGGCAGAGGCAACGATGCATTGTGGAAAAATCATGTATTTCTGCTTCTTACTGGTGGCTGTTCAGGACCATGTTTGAGATACCATCACCTCCTTGGCTCATGGGCTCCAGGGGAAGTGTTTGCACAGCTGACATGTGGGAGGCAACATGTGGATCTCTGATGGCATAAAATCAATTTTTTATATATATACAGTGTACAAACGTGCCCCCCTGCCCTCATGAATCTCAGACAAGGTGCGTGTTCTGCAAGCTGGGGGAAGGGAGGGGAGACCCCAGCTCGTCATGTACATATTAGGCTACCCACGGTAAAAAAAAGCTGCAGGATTTAAATGCAGCACCCGACATTTGCTCACTGCCTATTTCTAATTTCTCCTGTGAAGGCAGTGCATGGGTAGGGATCTCAATCACAGACTGTTTCTGCCAAGAATACGGTAAAACACAGACTGCACTGGTGCAAAATTTCCTGTTAGCACCAAGGAGCGTGTCCGAGGCCAGGCTGTGAGAGGTGAGGCTGGAGGTCTTCTCCTCCCCTCCAGGGACCGCAGGCTGTGGACAGGACTAACAAACCAAATAAGCAGAAATAACAACCCGCAGCCCTTCCTGCTGAAATGAAGATTTCAATAACCTGTGTTGCAAATGACAATAATAAGCAGTCTCTTCTGTTTCAAACCGCTATGAGCAAACGTGCCGGGGGTAGAAATAAGGCTTCAGAGCGATGGCTCAGATTAAAGAGGTTTGTGCCGAGCAGGGGTGAGGGAGGTGCATGTTCCTCCCAAGCAGAAAGGCAAACAATGCTTTGACTGTTTCCAGGCAAATGGGGCTGTTTTAATCACCCCCCTGCTCCCTCTCAGCGCAGCCGTGGGAGCGATGGGTACGCGTGGCGCTGGGCTTGACCCCCGGCCGGCGAGGGGAGAGCACGCACCCACCGCCTGAGCAAAGAGCACAGCACAGCATCGAGCGTTAGGGGAGAGGAGAGGGGAAAAAAAACAACCACACACAGAGGGAGGCCCGAAACCCCCCATCTGACACGCTCAGCAAGTTGCTGTTTGGCATGTTGGTGACGCCACCAGCACTCGGAAAGCAGCTTTCTCTCGCAGGGCATTTATTGAGAAGATTATTAAAACCTGTTTCATTTAAAAACATTTGGCCGAGACCTCTGCGTAAGGTGGGAGGGCATTTTTTGCCCACATAAAGGAGAATTTAAGGGGGGGGAAAAACAAAACCTCACCGACTTCCCTGATGGCTGCCAAAAAAGGTCTTGAAAGAGCTTGCCTTGTGAGTGAGAGGGACACCAAGAAGTACTCCTTGGCCCTAGACAGGTAACAACACTAAGCTCTGTTTCCTTCACTGCCATTGCTTTGTCTTTGAGAGCACTGCTGAAGTCAAAGGACGGGAGTTTCACAGTGTGCACAGGGAATATCTTTCACTACTTTCAAAATGTTTTGTGTGATTTTTTCCTTCCCAAACTTTCTTATTAAATGTTTGATGCATTTACTAGACAGCAGCCTGATGTGTCTGCTTCCGTGATGGATTGAACCAATCTACTGTTGAAGCAAGTGTCTCCTGCTATGTATTTTATAAGCTTAGTAGATTTATTGTAGGATGCAAAACCTCATGGATTATGCTGCAATTTTAAGCAGAATTATAATAGTGCTATTGACACCGTGTTTGATGCAAGACTCCTTCATGCTTGAATGTCTAAATAATCTATTCAGTGTGAAAGAAATGTGATGTTGTTAAGGACTTGATCCTGCAAAACTTTATTCATGTGGATAGTCTATCAGACTTGACGCTGGTGTACCTCTTGTGTGCCAGAGGTCCTGGGAGTAAATGCTTGCTTGAGCGAGGAAAGACCCTCCGAAAATGTATGATATGCAGTAGCTTGGGTTAAAAAATTAGTATAAATATCTATCACAAAATAGTTTTACAGTTGAACTTATTTTCATTCTTCCTCTTGACTCAGACCAGCAAGTTTTTTTAAAAGAAAATAGCTGCTCAGTTACAGCTTAGCACCTCTTGACATTTCCATTATCTCATTGGTTTTCAGGTTATTTATTGCTTGGCTCTCTTAAAAAGTGTGGGACAGAAACTTGGCATACACACTGTCAGTTCAAATGGAAATCTGTCTCTCCATGTTCTTATACTGGGGTCACTGCCATCGTATTTTAGTTATTTGAGTGTCTGAGTTATTATTTAAATATTATTACATGGCTCCATAAATATACATGGCACTGTCCAAAATTACTTTTGTGGTAATATTTATATTCTAAAAAGATCCCATATGATTCTGCAATTCATTTTAGTTACTGAAGACTCTCAGATCTATTTTGATAGTTTGCAATTTTGTGGGCACAGCTTCAGTGGTTGAGGTCCTTTGGCCCTGTGCCGTCTCTGGACACAAGGACGTCTCTGGACGAAGCCTTTACAAGCTGTGGGAAGGGGTGCCCTGAGGCAGGGAGGAAGCCCTTGGTTTCCCTGGATCACCAGGAACAGAGAATGTTCCCGGTGAGAAGAGGGGCAGGATGCACGTTGGGGGCAGTAACACCTGGCAGCTCATCCTCCTGTCTAAGAGCTGACTCACCATCTGGAGGATGGTTGACTTCTTTCTGATAATTATTTCTTAATTTAGGGTTGAAGTTAGTTGGGGTTAACCTAAACAAGTTGCAGTTGTTGGGCTGATATTGGTTGCTGTAAAAATGTCCAACAGCCCCAGAGTTTGAGGGCCAGTGCCAAGAGGGCTCCTTAGCAGAGGTCCTGAGACACATGAGTTACTCCAGCTCCTGAGGTGTGTGGCTTTTGTGTTGCAACCCCTCTTGGCTTTTCTTGCCAGGTGAAGTTTGATTAACTGCACAACCTAATTACTCCATCCCAACAATAACCATAAAGAGGGGCTGGGAGCTGGAGGAGCTGGCAGCCTGGGGGAAGCTCTCCCCCTGTTTCCCCTGGCAGGGAGGGAGCCAGCCCGGCGGGGGGAGGCAGCCTGCTGGGCTTGGGCTTGCACAGACCGGCTGCAGGCACAGCTTCAGGTGTCTTAAGCCGATCAGTAGCAATAAGCTCATCTTAGCCTTTGGTATAAATTACCACATTTTTCCGTTCCCTGTGTGTAGGCTTAATGAATAGCTCTAATGCTTTCAACAGAGTTTATTTTGCACAGAGATTGCCTATTTCTTTGTCATCCCCCAGCCTCTTTCTTTTTAATAAATGCCATTATTACAATATGCAGGGAACAAAACTGTTTTTATCTTAACCATGTGAGCAGGAAGTCTGAATACAGACCCCGTTCCCTGCACACAAGGCTGTTGGGGAGAGTGTTTGTACATGCCAAGCTGGTCTGTAGTCACTGGTGGGTTTGGATGCATTGAGGTCTCCCATGTTGAACTTGAAATGCTTACAAGGAGGTGAGCTTTAACCCAGGTCTCTGAAAATAAGGTCAGCTGTAGACTTGTAGGATAATTCAAATTGGAAGGGACCTCTTCAGGTAGGAAGAGGTCTCTGGTCCAACCTCCTGCTCGAAGTGAGGTCAGCCAAGAGATCAAACAAGGTTTCTCAGGGCTTTATCTGGTCTAGTCTTGACAAAAAATCTCTCAAGGTGGAGACTGCATGACATATCTAGGCAATCTGCTCCAGTACTGAATTATCCTTACAGTAATTTTTTTTCCTTATGTTCATTCTGAACCTCTCTTGTTTCAATCTATGACCATTGTCCTCATCCTTACTCCATGCGCAGGCACTAAAGCTCCACCTTCTCAATAACTTCCTCAAAAATATTGTCAGGTTGCTGCTAGGTGTCCCTGAAGCCACCTCTTCTCTAGCCTGGACGAGTCCCGTTCCCTCCAGGCAAGTGCTCCAGCCTTCAACCATCCTGGTGGCCTTCTGCTGAACCTGTGCCAGTTTATTGATCTTTCCTGTGAGTAATAGGACACCACTTCTCACTAGCCTCCAGCAAGGGTATGGACCATAATTGTAACAGAGTCTGAAGTTGAGCACTCAGGACCCCCTGCCTTATGCAAAAAAGTTGTCTGCAAGGCATATCAAGTGAGATTCATATCATCTCTCTTTAACTTATGTCTGAATTAGGTGTCTTTTTGTCTTTTTACAGTTGAGGGTGGTGGTGCTAGAAGATAATTCTTCAGATGATTAATCATTTGTTATGTTATTTTTTATTTGTTATCACCTGTCTAGTGATATAGATAACCATTTATCAAAGACTTGGGAATATCTTGATCAAACTCCTGAAGTGGCCAGATGATTTTTTTTCTTTCTGACAATAGATCAATGTAATATTGACAAGAAATATTCAATATCTCACTTCATAAATCAGTGGATTTGCATTAGATGTACCAACTACGCTGTGAACTAGATTTTGACTTGACCTAGCATGTATTTCTGGGTTTCTTATATTCTTTATATGTCATTATAGTGGGATTTTGAATACCACCACACAAGTGAAACTCGAGGCTTCTAGTCTCAAAGTTTTTGTTTTGGTTTTGTCTTTGATACAAGAGAAAATAAAAAAAGCTGGGGGGGGGGACAATGTTGAAAGTAGGAAAGATATGTAAAAATCTTAGGGCTTGTCTTAATGTAAAAGTTTTTAACACAGAGCATTAACGTGACCTGTAGTTATTCCTATCTATCAGTGAAGCCTTAGGCTTGTAATTGATTCCTGCCTGCCAGGCTCACACCACTAGGCAAAAAGTTTGAGGTGAGCCTGGGAGATGATTTCTTTGGGTGGAGATTGATTTTCTACAACAAGCATATAGGGAATGTTTTCTTCTTTTTCTGTGTTCCTTCAGGCTATATGAAAACTCTTATGGGATCAAAGAGTCCTCATCAAATAAAGGCTTTTCACCACTCCTTGTGCTTTGCAGCAGTCAATGCTCAGGAAAACTTGCGTGTTTCTTGTGACTTCTGAAAGGTTTGAGCTGTGGGCCCTCCAGTTGTCGTCTCTGTACTGGCTTGTCAGCTGACCCCAGGAGCATGCAGGATCTTAGGGGACTCAGCAAAATCCATCCCTTTGCTTCTGCCCTCGTGTTAGATGACATGAAGACTCTGTAGAAAGCACTGTGTCTGCCCAGTACTGGCTGTATGCCATCTCCATTGTCCTCACTTCAGTTATGCTCACTTCAGTTATGCCCACCTCATCTCGGAGATAATTAGAACTGAGATAGTAAGAGGTATGAAACAGAAATTAACTAACTAGGACACCAGCTCAGGAAATTAGTGGTTCGGGTATATAACAATGATACATAAAATCATGAATGATGTGATGAAGCTAAACAGGGAATGGTCATTCATTATTTCTAACAGTACAAGAACTAATTAAAATATCAGGCAGACAGCTTAAGAGTAACAAAGGATGAATTAGTTTTACACAAATCATAATTAAACTGTGGAACTCAACACTTTCAAGTCAGCCTGGTTCGTGGAAGAAAGCTCTGTAAAAGCCTATTAGACACAAGCTCGAGTTCAGCCACCTCCCAGACTCCAGGTTTGTGTAACTGGGGAACAGTACCGCTCCAGACACCTTCCTTTCTTGTACTTTGTCTTTATGTATCCTCTCATGCTCATAACACAATTTGGATACTTGGCTACATGCTCCTTTGGTCTACCCCAGTGCAGCTGGTTTTCTACTGTTAGGCAGAGGAAATTTATTCACAATACATTTATGCATACATGGCCAGGCCCCCAAAATGACACTAAATAAAATAACCATGAGAGAAATTCCCACCTAGTAGACATCTAAATGTATGCAAATATATAAATATTTGCCTTTGTTTTGTGCCAACAATAAAGAAAAGGAGAAACTGGACAGTGAGGCTATAAACAGGGTCTTAAATGACTTGGAAATTTTCAAAATTGGTACATCAGTTGAAATTGGAGTGGTGCCAGCACAAGCGAGGTGACTATGGCTTTGATAAATTTTTCTCTGAAGGCAGTTTCATTATCCTTTCAGGCACCAAAAATTACTATTTTCCCTTGTGAAGGAGATGATCTCCTGTGGGAAGTGCAGTGATTCCACATTTTGCTCTTTTGACTGGTGATCTCATAATGGTCTAGGAGGATGGCAATTATTCCCGTCAGCCTGCAGATCAAGGCACCCAGCAGATCAAGTGAAAACAAACAAAAGGAAGTCATAATCACAAGCTCTTGCTAATGATTTGTATGGAATCTGCAATATGTATTAATATTTTCTCCTTCCCCCCTTCCGGGAATGACTCAGTAGGAGCCTTTCTCTGACATTCCCCCGACTATCCTTTTTTACAAAGGAAAGAGAATTTGAAATGGAGAAAAGATTATTTTTTAATCTAGGACTCTGCTTGCAGTGTGCTGGTGCAGAGACGTAGCTCAAAGGCTACATCTTGCTCTAACACACTCAGAAGGGGTTTATGGTTTGACAGAGCTGATCTCTGTACCTTGAGCTTTTGATTCACACATTTATAAAACTGTCTCTTAGATTCTTTTAATTAGTGGCAGGCTGCTCTTGGAAGAAAAAAATAATGGTTACGCAGGGGAGCTGGCAGGAGTCTTCCTAACTCATGGGGCCAGATGCTGCTCTGCCAGTTCAAAGGGAGCAGCGAACGCTCGCCACCTCTGACAACCGGGCCGCTTTTGTTTAGGTACCCTTTAGACAGAAAAATGTGACATTTGTGGGCTTACGCTGTCTCTGTTTGCTTTTGCATCCGTTCAACCAGATCTGTGGGCAGCGCTTTCCTAACCCTCAGTGGTACTCTGAGGTTTTGTTAGCTGATGGAGAGACTCGAAGATTAAAAAAGGGAGAGGGATCACAAAGCGACCTATTTTGTTAACAGCGAGGAAAGGATTCGGTGGCTCAGAAATCTGCAGGGGTAATTTTGGTATCGTTGCCCTGACAGGCTGTTCAGCTGATCATGGCTCATGTCGTTAAGATGATTTTAACGTTCAGTGCCAGATGATGAAAATTGAGTTAAAGGGAAATTAATTTTACATGCAAAACTACAGAAAAGCATTACAAGTTAACTCCAGAGAGGGATCACGACAAAGAAAAACTTGCATGCCCTGATCTCCAGTGAGAGGACCACAGTATTTTATTCAACCATCTGGAAGGAATCAATTTGTGGTACCTTCTGAGTCTAATTCATCAGGAAGAGATTGTACATCAGTGACACAGTGCACATGAGGAGTTTGATGAATGTAAAACCAGAGGACTGGAGAAGGAAAGGCTAGCGGGGACCCTGGCTGCCAGATGGGCAGCCCATTCCCCAGACAGCCCAGCTCCCATGTATTTGTTGTTGTAGGGAAAATAAAGGAAAACACTGACAAAAGGACTAAGAAAACTCACTGTCTTTGGGCATCAAGCATTAAAATGACCAGTTGCTCTTTCAGATGAGCTCTTTGTCAACAGGAGGAACCTCTCGCCTCCACTGAGCAAACAGAGACCACATGCTAACCTGGCTGGAAACAAGCTGACTCAGGGGAACATGTTGCATCCTTGGAACATCTCAATAATATTTACAAAACTGAATCGACACTGATTATCTACAGTTGCAGGGCTTGGTTGGCAAGGTGGCTCAGCTCTTCTCTGTTCACTGGTACCTCCATGGGGCTGTCGAGGTGCATGACGAGGGGCTGAGGCACCTACAGCTCTGCAGCTGCCTTTGCCCCTTGCCCATCAGTGGAGTGTGGGCTGTGGGGCACCTGGCAGGTCTCTGGACCTGCTGAGCAGCTGCAGTCCCCTCAGGATGCCCAAAAAGACAGATGGAAAAAGCTTGTGATTTCAGTACAATTTTTTTCTTGACTTCGACTACTGCAGATTGGCAGCCACCAGCATGATTTCTTTCCAGCAAGATTTTAGGCACCTTGACACTTCCATAAACAGTACAGAAATGCTACAGAAAGTCACCTCCCCCCCACCCCCACATCATGCCACCAGGCTAATGTCAGAGTTGGAAACAGCAGTGGAGTTTGCTGCCTGCCCAGGTAGGCTTGAGGACTACGGTCCTTCACACACAGACCTCAAATAGCTGTTATACATGGTCATATGGATGTTACACACGTGCATCTGGGCAGAATTCACCTTGTTGATGTCATAGTGTGCTCCCACAAGCCTCAGTACACGGCAGGGGATGTTTTACCAATGTTAGGAGCAGCTGCGGCAACAAATGTTGTATCTGGAGAGACACAATGGTTTTGAGTTGAGCTTTCTGGGACAGGGTTTAGGGGCTTTTTTGCCATTTTGGCTCTTCTCAGTTGAAAGGCAAACTTGCTTACCAATCTACTTTGGGGCCTCCCCTGGGGCAGTTTCTAGGCTGCTCTAGCAAAAGCACCAGATGCCATGGTCATTCAGGAGCTCCTGCAGTTGCAATGCAATGTGCTCAGCCCCGGACCCCTCTACCCCCATCCCATATTCCCTACACAGGAGCCCTGAGAAGGACAGCACCCAGGGTTTGTGACAGAGCAGTCTTGGCTGGGAAATCACCTTGTGATGGAGCGATGCTCAAAGAGCCACTTCTGCTGAATGTCTCACCTTTCTGTGAAATCAGTGGCACAAAGGGTCACCATACTGAGGAGAATTCATTTCTTTGATTTGTTTTTTTTTAGTGCCTTTGAAACTATTAGGCTAATACTTTCTATGCTCAAGCCCTGCTGGAAGATTGATAGTTTTTGTACATATGTGGAAATTTGAGACAAAATGGTTTTCCATGTAAAGAGAGGAGACAAATATCTTTAATCAATTATATTTGAGAAAAAGAAGATGTTATTTTTAACAGTTTTCCTGACAAAGCTGTTGGGAATAAAAACTTGAAATTTTCCATAGAATTGTCTCCATGTTATGCTGAATTTGGTTACTATTTGCATGAAGTATGGCTTTTTGAAAATCATACAGTTGGCATAAAATACACAGCCTAAGAAAGTCACCCTGTGCTTCATAAACTTCTAAATGATGTAGGAGAGCCCAAGGAGCTGAGAAATACAGCCAGAGCAGTCATTTCATGTGCAGCTCCCTCCCGTGGAGCCCTTCGTGTGCGAGAAAGCCTCTTCTATGACCTGCTTGGCTGTTCCCAGTGCTGCTTTTATCCTTTGAAAGCATTAATTACATAGTTTCTGGGGCTGTGGGGCTAGAAGCCCAAATAACCAGGGTTTTTCTTTCCTAACCTTCTGTTTCTTTCAATCCCGAAGGACGAGCTGGCATCAGAAGAATTTAAATGAGGAAAGGCAGCAGCAGGAAGCAGAAGTTACTGAAGCTAATCCAGAGTATCACTGCCACGGCTACTCACGGGCCTATGAGAACAGAAAAAGGGAGCAGCATCAAGCCAGGAGGAAGCTCTGTGTAGCATCAGTAATTTGCATCTTCTTCATGATTGCTGAGATTACAGGGGAGTATGTTTGCTCAAAGAGAGCTCAGTTTGGTGCCCAGCACAGCCATATTCTACATACTCTGAGTGCAGAGACCCATGAGGCACAGAGGTGAACCCACCTGGAATAAAATAACTCTCCTCTCTCCCGAATTGCTCAGATAATTGTGAGGTTTTTTAAAGTGAAATTATCAAAATATTTTCATTCAAGGATTGCATCCAGGCAGGAATATAAGGATCAGTTAATGGGCTAAGCTGTTCTCCCAGGACTTTAAGATCAGCTAAAAGTAGCTAGCATATCTTGACATCATGTCACAAAGGTTTCTAATAAACTGGGTTACATTTTTTGGAAAAGATTAAAAGATTTTACATGTTTATCCAGGGAAATGAAACCTCAGCAGATGAAGGCTGCTAGCTGCAGGATCTGATATTAAATGCAACAGTCTTTACAAAATCCAGTGAAATCCAAGGCCAGATTCACCATCTGGTTTTCTTCAGTTAAGTCAATGTATTTATACCAGGGCACGTTTATCTTTTAAATTGGCCTGCTGGTGTATCTCTGGATCAATGGAAGATTATTCCCTTGTCTAATTAGCCTTCACTTCTGGACCCATCCTACAATATCCAATATAAGTTTTTGGCTCACTCATAGAGCATTAGTTTTAATTTTGTCCAACTGATCCATTCTCTGCACAGCTTCTGTGATATTTATACCTAGCTGATAGTTCCTGGCTCTTTACTTTCCCCTTCTCCTTGATGAGGTAAGGTAAGTTAAGGCGTGAGGAACCCCACAGCCTTTTGCCACTTGTGCCTTAGGGGATGTAACAAAAATCAGCCAAGAAGGCCTCTGAAACCCATGTTTTCCCTGCATCTCAGGAGCCCCATAAAAACAGAAGACAAAGGCTTTGCCTTCCCCACAGGTGAGCAGTGGAGGCAATGAAAGAGCCGCTGCATTTCTGCCTTCTCCCCCGGCTGCCAGACCCAGCAGGGACTTCTCCAACTCTCCCCTCCCACGCATTTCATCTGCGTGAAGCCTCTTATTTGTAGGTCATGTGCGTTTCCCCCTCGAAAACCAGTGCATACCACTAATCTGCATGCAGCAATTTCCAGTGCCAGAAGTAATGTGTTATTAACAAAACCGTATAATCAGTAGGCTTAAGTTTGGTGAATGCAGCAGTGCTAGAGGATAATTGGAAGGACAGATGATATGTTAACTAAATGTTTCATTTTGCTTAATGAATCACACAGCTTTTTTGCAGTGACAGCTTAAGTAACAGGCTTGAAGACCATTTTGCTTCAGACCATTAAACTTTGACAAACCAGTTATTAACTGCAGTTATAGACAGCAGTCTATGGAGATTTCTGTAATTATGAACCATACATTTAATTTTTTTAATCGTTAGGCTAGACAGCCTGTGCCTGATGATTGACCATTGAGTGACTGACAATTTCTACGCTTTGTGGTATACAAAGCTATAAACATCCATTCTGGGCAATAGTAAGTCATAAAGGCCACTTGTTGGAAGTATTGATACGAACCAATAAAAGCCTACTACACAGGCTTTACTCTTGAAAATAAAGAGCATGTTCCCCTTCCTTCTCCTCTTAAGGCCAAACAGCTTCCGTGGGCATTGTTATGCTAAACAGAAGAAACAAAGCTGCAGGACTCGAAAAGAGGTTGAAAAGTTGTGTTTCTTTGAGTCCCTAGATCTTTCCTGTGATGCTTTTGCTCAAGCCATCTGTGCTGGCCCTTACTGCTCTCCCAAAAGGGGAACTGTTGGCTGAGCCTGATACACCAACTGTCTCCGAAAGACAATTATCTTCTGTTCTTCTATTGCAGATCCATCACTGTCTCTATGGACTTGGAGATATCAGTCAAACCGATGACACCCTATGTACAGCCCTGATATAAAAGTGCTTTCCAAGGATTTTTAGTGCCTAAGGACCAAATGTGGATTTCAAAGTACTTTATTTCCATTTGGACACTAGAAAGAGAGACAAATCCCTCATGTGTGCTCGTGTCAAAAAGGGATACAAAGACTTGACCAGGTTGCTAAGATAAGCAGACTGAGATCTCAGAAACTCACCCAAGGCATTAGTTATGCCAGCAATACATGAAATAATAATTTGCCAACATTTTTCAAAGACAGCCAGCTAGAAGCAAGCTTTTGCAACATTGTCCCAGAGAACATGGAAATACAGTATCTAAAATGCAGTAGGGTTTTGCAGGCAGCTTGTGCTTTACATATTTGTTTGCTGAAAGATAGCTGTTGCTTGGTTGTTAACATCTGTGCGTTGTCAGACAGGCCTGTTTCCCTCTGCTATGCAAAATTGCTTCCCACTTGGGAAACAATTACCCCACAAACAGTGAAAGTCTAGGAGCTGTGTCATGACCAAAAAGTATATGTGCATATACACCTGCTCATGTTCTGGGAAATCCCCATTCTGTTGAATTTTTCATTTTATTGCAAGGAATGAGACGCCCCCATATTCTGCAGTCATGCCTGCTCCCTTTTGGAAAGTAACTTTCAGGCAGCTGTAAATGAGATATATAGGGAGGCAACAGAAAAAAATAAATATGTCCTGTATGTGCAATATACATTCTCCTGCAGTGACAAACCATACAGTATTAGGCATTATAATCTAAAACCTGCATATGGGAGGAAATTAAACAGACAACCCATCCTGCTGGCATGACGACTTTCTATCTATAAGGAAACAAGAGATGTGTCTACATGTCCGGTTGGCAGTGGTGTCTTGCCAAGGTTTGGATGAGGCATTTTACAATGTTTTTCAGGATTCATTGATTCTCATATGGGTTGTGATCAGGAGAAACAGGTGGGTTGAAATTAATTAGATGATTGGAGAAGGGCAGAAACATATTGCCAAATGCACAAACTATATGTTTTGGCTCTATTATTTCACATTTCCATTTTTCTATATTTTCAATCTGATTAAAAGATTCCCCTGCTATAGCAAGTTGGCAGGACAGCTTCCTGCCTGTGATTGTCTTCTCCTGCAGCCACCAGCAGCTAGGGTAGTTTAGAGCAATCTTTTATTTTCTTTGAATTTCCCTTTAGCACTGAGACATGGTCAGAAGAATTTGGCAAAACAATATCAGGCTTAATAGGTAAAAGAAATGTGGTTTCAAATAGCCTAAAATGGTTTGGGTTATTTTTCAGAATTCACATGAAACCAAAACCTCCCAAAGTAAAATTACATTCAGCCACATTTTTTCAGCTCTAGAAGGAAAATTAAATCATGCATTACAGATGCAAAATGATTGATTAGTCCTGCAAACAGAACATTTTTCTCTATGCCCTCACCAAAATGGTCGGTTGTTTATCACAGCTTTTCTACTAGGACCTTTCCTTTTCTTCTTGTTCCAGTGTTGCCTGTGACAAATAAACAATTGGGAATCCAGCTACCCAAAACTCAGGAACAATACACATATTTTCCTATAACAAATAAGAAATTAATCCCATAAGCTAAGTCTCTGAGTCGTTGCACATATATAAAAATATCTATGGTCTGTGAAGAGTTAGTGGGAGGATCCTGGAAATGTGATCCCTAATACTGCTTTTCACCAAGAAACCTGATACTAAAATAGTCACAGTAAAACAAACCAATAGCGATAAAACCACAGCATTGATGTATCACAGCTCTTACTGTCCTTAGGACTCTCTCTCTTGGACAAAGAAAATTACCTTATTTCTTTCATTAATTACTTATTTTCACTGCATGAATGAGTTTCACGTGAAATTATCTTTGAACAGTTTTGAGTCACATCTACAGACACTGAAAGTTTAATGTTCCCTTTGATTCACAGCAAAGCAGGTCTCAAGTTTGATCTGGTCGACTCAAACTTCTGACCAGAGCCATGATACAGACATGTGTTTCACACAGGTGGGCAGATCGCCGGGAGCCTGGCAGTGATCACCGACGCGGCACACATCCTGGTGGACCTGACAAGCTTCCTGATCAGCCTCTTCTCGCTGTGGCTTGCCTCCAAACCTCCCACCAAGCAGCTAACTTTCGGGTGGCACCGAGCAGGTAGCAAAAGTGTCACAGTATGAACATGTGGAACAGGAAAGGGGAGTTATCATAGCCAGCCACTGGAAAACCTGCTGATGCTTGACAAAGGTCTGCAGATATTTAGTTATAGTGCACGAATGTTCTCAAAGCCCCCAGGACACATGACAAAGAAAGCAAGCCAGTGAGCTTCAAGGAAGTAAAGAACACAGGCATGACTTATCTACACAGGTGTCTTTCAGTTGATTATTTAATATAATTTTGGGCTGGTGCTAGCTTTGGCTGATATTACAGCCACTTCTCTCAGTGACTTGAGTGTGAGGAGGACTGAGTCCTATGAGGATTATAAAAGCAACAATACCCATAAAAATGAGGCAGTTTCTCCATTTATAGGATGATAACATATATATAAAACATGTATAATGTTAAATGTATTCTATAACAACAATGTTATACTTGTAAAAAAGTGAGATTCTTTAACATTTACCATTTTCTAAATCCTCTCTCTGCCTATCTCTGTTGCTGCTGGTTTTTATCAGCTGGAAGCACTGGTAGGTTTTGGAAGTTCTCCATCCTCAACCAAAATCGACATATTTACAGATGACACCTAACACCTACTTAGCGCCAGTTGATCCATAATTACTTCTTGTGCTTATGCTCTCTTAGCCTGGGAATAAAGGAAAGTGAGAGACTTCTCTCTTGCTGATGAGATGGTAGGCAGGTTGACCCACGTCACATAACTTCAACCTCAGTTTGTGTTAGTTTTTTTAAGCTTTTTTCATTGCAATGCAGAACGTCAAAACCAATCTTTTATTGCCATTTTATCCTGGTAGCAAAGAGAGCCCTGCATCAAACCCCAGTGGCTATTTAATTGCATTCTATGATAGTTATCCTGTTTCTTGCTTATTTTCCCAGCTATATTTCCAGTTCAATATGCAGGTGGGTGCCTTAATAGAGTAGCTGAGGGCAGTCAGGTGGGTGGCAGAGTCCCTGCGTGCTGACTACCAAAGTCTTGCAGCTGCAGCCCTCCATGGGTTTTTTCAGTTTTTCTCAGAGTGACAGATAGGGTTTGTCATCCAAAGGCTGTGTATGACACGGCTTCAGCTTAGCAGGAGCCATCTGAATGCCTCCTGTCTTCTAAGCCAGAACCAGGCAGCAGAATCAGTCAAGACAGCAGTTCAACACAATCCTTTCAGTGTGCAGCTGCTTTCAGCATCATGGCTAGAAGCATAACATGGCAGGAGATTGATAGCAGGAACCAGACCTACCTCCAGGTAGGAGCGCTCTCTTCAACCTCAACTTCTTTGTCCGGGGTATGATTCAGAGTTTCCCAAACGATTCCATCCTATTGGTTGCTGTGCTCTGTTTGTGCTGGTAGTTCTGAAGAAATGTAACTGAAAACATCTTGAGCAAAACAATTCATACCAGTGAACTGCTCTGTAAGCTTAGCTAAACTTTTGCTAAGATACCACATTGAAAAGTAATACGTATTTTCACCTAAGTAGGTAAAGATGACCTCTAACATTTTCAGCTGTGGAGTATATGCAGACACACACACACACAGAGATATTTGTTCAGGCATTCACAAAAGCTGTGGGCTCCTTTCATAGCAACAATAGCACAGACATCAACACCTTCACTTGGGCCAGGTTTGCAGCGTCTCAACCTGTAACTTGGAGAAAATATAAACACCAGGTTTATCAGAAAATATAACCACCATGCCTTGTGTTAGCTTCTCTCTACCTACTTTCAAGCAAAATTAGATTTCCTTGTCTGTGCGCTTTCATTCATTATTTGTCAGTTTTAGACAAAATGGTTATTTTTGATAAGCATCTGGAGCCTGGACTGCTGCAAAATTTGTGACTTTCATAAATATATATTCAAAATGATAAGCTGACTTACAGCTGCTTTCATGAACTGACAGTGGAGGTCTGCACAAGTTCTTCGGTCTGTCTATCTATTGCCTTTCACTTTTCTGTGAATTTTCCTTACTATTGTTTCAGTTGTGCTCATAAAGTGCCACATTTACCCATTCAAGTCACATGCCAATTACTAGTCCCACATCCTATTAAAAACATGCTGCACTTTCATACAAACATCCCCAGACCTCGCCTATGGCGGTGCAATAAAAGGTGGCCTTGGGGATTGCATTTATTTGAGCCCAACTCAGAGCCAATAGAGACAAAATTAAATTTTGCTGCCCCAGGGAAAAAAATAACTTGTTTTGTCCTCATCACTGCTGGTGGTACAAAAATTATTTTCTGGCACTGGCAGGAGAGTGGAAGGAGAGGTTTTTGCTGGCAGGACCTCATTGGGAGCTGTCACTGAAGTGTGAAGTGGTGAGAGGTGTGCAGAGACAAGAGAGGCTACTGGAAGGGGATTATGTCTGCCAGTGGGTTTCGGAGATCCATGCCTCTCTCCTTCCCTCCAGCCTCTGCTCCTGTGACCAAGATAATCTTGTTGGGGAAGGAGGGCTTGTTCCTGGGGTCCTCACATCGTATTGGCAGGGCCAGGCAACTACATAAAGTGTAAAAGAATTGGCCTGTTATCCTTCCTTCCCATTGCAGCTCCTTTTGCTCCTCCCAAAACTCCACAAATTATCTTTTTCTTCTCTCCATTTTATCTAAATTCCCACAAACTCAACACTGGAATGGCCACAAAAGTAGGAGCAGGTAGAACAGGGTTAGTCCACCATATACACAGGGCTGCCCTGGGCAGCCATTGGATTTGTTATGACCAGAAAGGGGTCTGGCCCCTTCTTTGTGAGTGAGCATCAAGGTTGCCAACACACAAGAAGTAGCTTTTCTGGCTATAAAGCTCACAAAACCGGAGCCATTGCCATCAACCTCTTAAAATTTCTTGTTTTTCTGTTATGACTCCTTTTAAAATCAGATTGTTTTAATTCTTAGAAATTCTGGGAGCTTTGATGTCTATGATAATCGTTTGGATGGTGACTGGCGTGTTGACATATTTGGCTAGCATGAGGCTTCTGCATCCTGATTATGATATTGATGCTACTGTGATGCTCATTACCTCTGCTTGTGCCGTACTCGCCAACATCCTGTAAGTTACTTTGTTTTCCTCTCCACATAACTTTTCAACCTTGAACCTGCTGCTGTATTTCAATAAAAAAGATAGAGAGATATTAGCCTCAAATATATTAAATGTTTATGAGTTTCATAAGAATATAGAAAGAGGTAGAGGAGAGAGAGCCTGCTTCTCATTGAAGGCTGCAGTTGCTCTCCTCCTTTCTGGTAGCTGCCACACTGGGAAGGGAAATTATAAATGCACAAACTCCAGGAAAAGATTAATCTCCATCTCACTTTTTATTAGATGTCAGAACATTCAGGAACTCTATAGAAAATGAGGCCTCATTAATTCCCCTGTTCACAGACTTTCTTGTTTGTATGCAAAAAAACTGAAACACCTAGGAATTATCTGCTTAGCCACTCTGTGTTTTTACTTAATGTGTTTGATTTTACCGTTCATCATTCAGAAGTGAGAGCATTGATGATGTGTATGACATCACTGCTTTCAACAACCCCACTGATACTGCAGCTTTGCATCTCTTGCAGCCTGAGCCTGATTCTGCACCAGACGGGTCCCGGGCACAGCCATGGGGGTCACGGGCACAGCCATGGGGGTCACGGGCACAGCCATGGGGCAGGAGCTGGGGAACACGCGTCGGCCCCTCTGGAAAAGGCAGCCCTGAGCAATGCCAGTCTGCGGGCAGCCTTTGTGCATGCCATTGGAGATCTATTCCAGAGTATTAGTGTGCTAATTAGTGCACTTATCATCTTCTTTAAGGTTAGTTTTATTAGTTCACTTGCCTTCTTTGCAATTAAGGATAACAGTTATTTTCATAGCATTGTGACACTAGGTACTTTGTAAATATTTTCTTTGTCTTAATGATATACATTGTAATTTAGTCGAAGACAATTATACTTATTCTTGGGAACTGAAATGACTGTTGAGAATGTACCACTTACTTCTTAATGTTTCAACTACAAGGAGGATTCTTTGGTGTCTCTCCCTTTCTTTGTCTTCATTCCCTATGCTGAGGAGGGAATCTGTCAAAGGAGGTCAGCAGTCATTCTGTACTAGATTAATGGAATATGTTATTCTTTCAGATTACCTAATTAAAAATGGCAATAACCAACAATAATGAAATTAACAAAGTGATGTGTTCATATTTTTCTAGCCAGAATACAAAATAGCTGACCCAATCTGCACATTTGTGTTTTCCATCTTTGTTTTGGCAACCACCATCACCATTTTAAGGGATATTTTGATTGTGTTAATGGAAGGTAGGACCTGATTCCAGAATCAATAGTTATATTTTGTTGTTGGCTTTTTTTTTCTCTCTTTCTCTGTAATGCTTTTAATTGATAACAAAAATATAATAACATACTTCTGTATCAGTTTCCAATATTCCCATACCTTTGATCATACTTTAATTCTAATTACAATTTTAATCACAACTGCTTTCTACCATTGCACTAGAAGATTTACACATATGCCAGTTTTCATAAAAATTTGTTTACTGGTGTTCTGCTAATGAACTCCTAATGCTTTCCTAAAACTGAGTTGATTTTCTTTGTCTTACGTGTAGCATTGCTTTTTATCACGCCTTTGGCATGAGAGGTGCGTTCACTGTGTAATTCTTTTACCAATGTGAGATACAAGTCTTTGCCAAAAAAAACACAAAGAAAAGAAAAAGACTGGGCTTTGAACTGTGTCTGTGAAATAGGCTGAGTGCAAGAAGCACAAGTTTAAAAGATTTTTAGTTACGCTGGTCCAGAAAATCAAGCCGGTGGAGTTTTCCAGTCGTGCTCAGGTACAAGGGAATAGACAATTCTCAGCACATCAGCAGCGAGAAGAACAGGCTTAGCAATCTTTAATCCTGTCAACTATGGGCCTGAACATTTGATTTGCAAGGCCAAATGACTTGAGCAGTCACAGATGTATGGTTTTGCCTTCCTTACACTGAATAATCTAACGCAACCTCTTTCTCAGCTATGAAGATGTAAGGATTAAAGGGAAAAGTAGCTCTAACAGTGTAGTTTTGAATGGTTATGAGTCACTGAGTGTGACTGTCTGCATGGCTATTTACTTCTCTTTCACTTTGCACCTACTTCTGCTTCAAGAAAGAAAATTTCCAATACTGCTTTCCAGTAAAGTTTCATTCTAGGGTTGGTTTGCTTTCAGTGATTATGAGATAGAGAGACATTTGTGTAGAAGCGCACCTAGACAGTGTGCAGCAACTGGCTGCACCTTGGCTGACAAAACATCAGATCTCTTGATTTCTGAAAAATACTAAACTACCAGGAAGGCCTGACAGCCCCTGACATACAGGGGTCTCATTTTCAGAGCAGTGATTTCCAGCTTCCTTAACCAGTGCTGACACGCCAAAACTAGCAAAGCTCTGTTCCCTTCTGCCACAAGGTCATTACCACTGTCCTGCTAGGGAGGTCTCTGAAGCCAGTCTCCTACCTCTGAAGTAACATGTTCTGCCCAGAATTTTCTAAAGAGAAATTGAATGTTGGAGCTGGTAAGAGGTGGCTCTTACCCCATGCATCCAGCCTATCCCAGGGTGTTGGCCCCACAGTCCCCGTGACTGGCTGTGTCCAGGCACTGACTGTCCATGGTTTTCTCTAAAGAGCATGTACATGCCAGCATTCTGTTCTGCTAAGTCAGAACTCCATATAGCATACCATTCTTGTAATAAATGGATGGGACAAAGCATACAACACTGAGGTCATTAAAGATTACAAATAACTATCAGTTACAGAATGAAAGACAAAATTAACTGATACTCTGCTTATCACTATTATACTTCAGAACTGGTGGGTGGCATTAAAAATATTTTTCAGTTAACTGATCCAAGTGAAGCATGATGAGCATAGCTGTTCGGGTAGTCATAGAGGTGCATTTCCAAACTCCTATGTCTCTCTCCAGGGAAGATATTATTAGTTAAATTCCTTGGTCAAATCTGGTTTTAGGTTAAACTCTGAATTTCGCGTTGCAACTCACCCTGTCACAATTGTCCTTGCTCTGACTGAGGCTCATCATCATCATCATCTTTTCTAAGAAGGAAAGCAATCACTCATTAACTAAACCTGGGATCTAATCTCAGCTAAGATTCCAGAGTCAAAAAATTCTAATATTTATATTTGTCTTTCCCTAAACAGATGCTTCTCTATTGTGTAAATGTGTTGAGGACAGAATCCCTCAGAGGTGCTCAAGTGATGCCATAAAATCTGCACTCACAAAAGATGTTACTGCAAAGCTATGACACAATGCGGCTAAACAACTCACTTCCCTACGTAAATCAGACCCTCAGAGCATCTCCTAAGACACGCATGAGTCTCACTCTTCCGTGGAGAAGTATAAAACAAGGGATAGGATTAGATTTCACAGTGAACTCTAGACAGGCTTTCCAAAGGATTGAATATTGTTATAAAAGTTACGCATCTAACTGAATAAAGATATATTCATGATGCATTTTCATCTAATGATCATTGTTACCTCTTCAAAATATTTTTCCACTCATTTCTCGTTTTAAGGAACGTCAAAAGGACTTGCTTATGATGCAGTGAAAGCAAGAATTTTAGCAGTTGAGAAAGTGGAATCTGTTCACAACCTTCATCTTTGGTCTCTGACAATGAATCAAACTATTCTGTCTGCTCATGTTGCCACAGGTCAGTAGATTTCTGTAAACAGGGAGTAAGTATTCAGCTGCTGCCTAGTAAAGGTCAGTCTTTCCTGATTGGGATACAACTGGCTGTATATCTGTTGCTTGTTAAAACAAATATAATCATTTTGTTGGAAAAATATCACCACCAACAACAAAACAAGCTCTCAAATCCTCCTCCCAGAAATCTTGCCAAGACAACAGGGACCTCTACTTAGCCCAAAACTTGAAAACTGCAGAGGTTGTGGAGCAAGGAAGAAAACCGCAAGATATTTTAAATAAATTAGAAGAATTAGACGCAGGCTGGATTTTTCTTACAATATCAAATAGATTTTGAAGTGGATTTGTCAAACTTAAAAACTGTTGATGTCTATAAGAAAAACTTACAGAACAAATCTGCATTCCTGATGCATCTCTAGCTGTAAAACAATTTTTAAACATAGCTTGGAGCACAGAGGTAACTCCAAGGGAACAGTTCATCTTTGAAAATATTCTTTAAAAATGTAATCCTTATCCCTATTGACAAATTGTCCACTACCCAGATCAATTTTCTTGCTTATCTGTTTGCTTTGTATATATTAAAGTTTATTAAAGAAAAATATTCCATCTGTGTTTGGCCAAGAATGGGTTCAGAGGCAAAGTCTGAAGTCCAGAGTCTCTGCTTCCCAAAAAGACTGAGTCTATCAGCCACCCGAATCACTTGGCACTATTGCTACTCCCTGACTGGATGAACTAATCTTTATTAAGCATTCCTGCTTTCCTCCAGTTTTCTGCCAAACCAAATTTCTTTGGTGATTACTCTTAGCTTAGCTCTTGCCAAAATTGCATATTCCAACCACGTTTGAATGAAGAAACTTGTGTTGACATGCAGGTTCCTGAAAGGAGGATAAGAAGGACAAGAAACACTTCTCAAAGCAAACTTCTTGTAAGAAGTTTGCAAATAGTTTCTGTCAGTAAATACTTACTCTACTTTCAAGTATTATATTAGATGCATTTTGATAATTTTCTGCTTGCTATCTGTAGCAGACACGGCAGACAGCCAGAAGATTTTGAGAGATATTACCCAAGCCCTGTTTGAGCACTACAGCTTCCACTCCGTCACCATTCAGATTGAATCGGGAGAGGATCAGAAACAAGACTGCGTCTTCTGTCAAGACCCCAGGGATTAAAGGGATCAGCCCTCTTAAGGGTCAATGGAGACTATATGTGCTGCTTGTATGTAATTGATTAAAAACAAATGGTGATTAACTGAACTAAAAAGTACTGCCACTGTGAGCAGGTACCATCTACCAGGAGAGAACGTGTATTAGGTCCATCCATCAGCTAGATTACCTGTCCATCAGCGGTTACTTTCAATTACAAGAGAAAGTATCTTAATTATTCTTGACTAGAGAAGCCGATTGGCACTAAAGCAACATTTAAGGGTGCCTGTTTGTAATTGCAGGCAACAAAAAACTAATCAACCTTCAAATTACCAGCAGACTAATTATCACAAAATGTAATGAAATGTAAATTTGGTGTTAGTAAAGCTCAGCACTCACTCAGGATAAAAGAAAAAATTTAAATTAGCATAAGGGATGAAGAGATCTGGGAAAGAAAGAGATGGTGGCATGCACTTTCCCTGTCTTCTGGCAGACACTCCTCCTCCTGCATGTTAAGGGAAGTATCAGATGTGCACCCTACTCTGCAGCATGAATCACAAGAGGCTTCACTCTACTCACCTTTGGAAAATAGCTCTTTGGTTTTTTATCTAGCCCTATCTGTTTTTCAGCCAAACTCTTTTCTGCCAGACGTGGGCAATATTCTCTACTACCAAGACTACCTATAACTCATATCACACTGCATCATGGTAAGTTGTGATAGAACATTTGTCGTGGATTTTTGGGTGTCTGTCACAAAGTACCACTTGGGGTTGTGACAATAAAACAGACCAGGTGTCCTCGAAAAGGAAAAAATAACGATGAAAGGAAAGACTGTGAGCCATTGTGAGTATCACATCAAGTATCCTTCACAGCATGGCCTGTGGGATGTTACTCTTTAACCCTGCTGCATCCTTGAGGTTATATCAGATAATTAAAAAACCCTTTGGCATATCACACTGTACAGGGAAGGGGCGTGCCTCTTCTTCAGCCAGCTGATTCCCAGATTCCTTATCAGGATGTGTTAAATCTTCTTCTTCTGCATACCTGGTGATGGTTACTGCAGAACTAGGAACAGAGAGTCATGTCTTTCTGCAGTGCCTCTATTTTTGTCCCATCAACTAAATTTAACCTCTCATCTGTTAGCAAAAACAAGGGTTGCGCTTCAAAATGCATGCTCAACTGCTTCTTCAAAAAACAACTTCAGATCTGCTCTTGGCCAGCGCAGCTTCACTTTCCATGCAGAACTAGATGTAATGTTTTCCCATTCCACAACCCTCACTCTCACAGCTGTAGAGCTCATTTTTTTAACAGGTTTGTTAGACCAGAATAAAGTATGCTATGCTGAGTGGTACTGAGTTTCCAGGCTGACAGCTGGAAAGAACATTCTGTTATTAAGGTATAAAGAGACCTTACTTTTTAGGGAATTCAGTTTTATTTGCAATAGGTTTACATTAGCTTTCTACTTTATCATCCTAAGGAGATTAGAATTTATTATTAGGGGCTTTTGGCTATGGATAATACATAACTATGTGATGATAGATTGATGTATTAAGCTGGCATTTGTTACCTGGTAGGGGGAACAAGAAATTATTCTGCTTTGTGGAGACATCCCAGAAGATCTTAGTCAGGTAAACCTCCCACTGAAATCAGATACGGTATTAAAACACAACACCCGCTAAGAATTTCATGAGTATCTCATTATTTACTGGCTTGAAAGTACTGAGAACATAGCAGTGGTATTCAGCACAGTGATAAAGGCAATCCTTGCCCTTTACAGCTGAAACTTCAGAAGATAAGACACAGATAAATCAAAGCACAGTAAGAAACCCTAAATGAAGAAATTAACTTGTATTTTGGCCAGTTTCTCTGCTGGTATAATTTAGCATAGTTGCCTCCTACCAAAGGAAACTCAGTGTGCTTGTTAAGTAACCTGAGCATCCTTTTCATTAGTTGGGGAGGACAAGTTAATAATATGGCTTTCATATGAAAAAAATGTCTTTCAAAATGTTTTGAATAAGATGAGGACACAGACCTGGGTATAATCGGGAATTTAGGGGGAGAGTTTTATGATCAAGGATAATGTAAAAGATAATGACTGGGTGACAGAAGCATCCGTATAGGACACAGATTCAGTTCTGAGATTTAGGCTGAGGTGGAGATAAAGACCAGAAGTTTAAGAGCAAGTGTTGATTTTGGGAAAAAATTAAACAGACAAGTAACATGGTCTACCAAGAAAGCTACGCTGAGTTGCAGAGCTGTGGAAAAGCTGGATGGAAGCAACACAAGAGGGGCTGGCAAAAAGAAAATTCAGCAGCAGGGACCAGGACTGATGATGTTATTGTCCAAATGAATTGAAAGGATGGAGAAGTCCTTAATTATGTTTTGGAAAAAGCAGCAGTGAAGTATAGAGACGTGAGGAAAGAAGAAGTTAATCCAAAATAATGATCCTTAATAAAAGGGAGCCAGGGAAAGTAGTAAAAAGGAAAGTTAAGAAGGAAGTGAGGTAGCAGCTGCCACCCACAGTCAGCCAGATGACCCATTAGACCCTCAGTATGGTAGCCTGGGTATGTGAGTAATAAAGGGCAGGGCAGGAATGGGGAGGAAGAGGAGATTTTTGGCTTTGTTAGCAGCAGTAGACCTTGTATTTTGGGCAAAAGAATTTAACCATGTATCTTTAGCAAAAGCTAGAGAGAGTGCAATTGTCTCTATTTTCTGTCATGGAATTTACTCTAGCAGATCACCGTAGCAGAAGTAATGCAACGGCTTATGAAAACCCAAGGAAAATTTACCTAAATATGACAGACTGAACATGAATTTAGAGCAAATATTTACCTTTAGTTACGAATATTGCTATAAAGATCTGAATCTTTTATGCTCCCACTATATATATGAATGTAAAATGTATATTTGTTGTTCATCCCCATCTAGTCTGATCCTCAGGGATATTATCTTGGTACAAGGTTATTTCAAGAATACTTTCTAAATGTTGGGGAAGGATTTCTGCAGAAATGCTACTGTGATATATAGAGGACAGGGCTGAGAAATTCAGAGACAATTTCTAGACTTCTCTGCTTTTATTAACTTTACATCCTTTTGATTGTCTGCAGAATAACTATAAGAAAATTGACAAAAAATTGCTGTCTCTAAATCATTCTTGAAATTACTGTGAAACAGAAAAGTATTTGTCATGTAAGTGGTCTGTTTTCCACATCTGACTGTTTTTTGGTGGAGTTCAGTTCATATAAGCAAGTACATAGCTTTACTGGCTAGCACTGAAATTTTATGTACATAAATACATTCATCTTCCTCTAAATTTTAATGTAGTCATTTTGCAGCTTGTAAATTATATAGTCCTCCATTCTTCAAAAAGAACTTTCTCTTTTTCACTTTCCACAACCAAAATCTAACGCATTGAGTAGAACCTGAAGATAAGGAGTTTGTAGAATCTCAAGACTTTTTGGAGTAGAAACCATGAAATGGGCAAATGCAAAGCTAAACTTTCTTCATTCAGTACTGACAAGGGCCCTAAGTGCCAGTATTATGCTGAGATTACCATCAAACATTGACAGAAATGTTTATAATAATTCAAACTAAACAGTTAAGGCACAAATCTGTCATTAGCATCAGTGGAATAGTCCCTTGCTTTAACTATAGTCATTTACATCCTGTGTTCTCCTGTCTGAAATATGAAGTGATTATGAGAATTGGATACACAATCAACGATTATATTGCCCACTTAGTCTGAGACTTCATGACAGTAATTTGTCATCTCCAGAGAAAGGCCAAACAAGATATCTCAGCCCTGTCCATGGCAGCAAATGTTGACCTAAGCAACAAGGACTGCGTAGGTCGGCAACATCATTCTTGCAAATGTCAAGAGGCTATATCAAACAATTTTGACTCTGTTTTTTCCTCTATTGTAAAAGCTAGCATGCTCCAACACATTTTCCTCAGTGCCTTCCCCTCAGCCATAGCACATATGCTCTCCTTCCTTTTTCATCCCCTTCAACTACTGTCCCCTTCTAGTCTGCTTTTCTATTTTTCCCCATTTGTCTTTTTTCAGCAATGCCTCAACTGACTGTCTGTTCAAATTTCAATGCCAGTATAATATTTATCATATATCCTTTCTGCTTACAGCCCTTCCCATTCTTCTTCAACCTGTGTGGCTAGATAAAAGCTCCTCAGAAAGAAACTGCTTTTTGCTCCATGTTTGTTGAAAACATGATATAACGAACTATCTTTTTTGTTTGTTTGTTTGACTCTCTTGTAAGCACAATAACAGAGATTTAATAAAAACAAAGAACAACAGCCATTCCAGACATCACATAATGGCTCATGTCAAGCACCACTATATATTTACTTTGTATTAAAGTTATTTAGAACTTTCACTGCCAAAAAATTATCTGAGCTGGCTCCAGCTTAAGGTACTCTTTCATGTTCTCAAGCCTGCTGGTAATCTCTTTCAGCTAAGACAAATAAAATCCTTTCCCACCTGAGTACACACAGTTCAAGCAAGAAAGGAATTGGAGACATCCAGTTCTTTAACTGCCTCCTTTGACTTCTCTCTGCTTGGACTTTGTGTCAGACAGTCAGTGTCTAGCACAAATGCACCGCAGCAGAGGGAGCTTTGGAGAGCTTCCAGTGGCTGGAATGGAAGCACAACAGAGGGTTTTTTACATGGTTACCAGTGCACATCCAGAATTTTCTATCCCAGGTGTTATGTTGATGAGAAACATGTCGGCTCTTCACTACAGTATCGGGGTTTAACTTTTCATTTAAAGGGCTCTGTAGCTTTGTCTCCTAAACTGCTGCTACACTCTCTGCCAGATGTGCTGCCTCTGCTTGCCACACACCATACAAAGTGTGGTGGCATGCAATGAAAGGTGTCCTGCTGTGACACATGCCGTCTGACTCCTTGCATGCTATAGCTATGAGCTTCTCAGCTATGGGGCCTCCCCCTGAATGGCATGGGCAGAACAATCATCTAGGCTTTGGTGAAGCACTGACTTATTTTTTCCTGCTGTGTAGTTATATTCTTCACTAATTTTCTTCTTGGAGACTGAAGCTGCCTGGAACAGCTGCTAATCCACAAAGAGGCACAAGGCACTCTGGTCTAGCTCCTGGTCTAGGCACTAGTTCTGATGTCAAAATGCTTGGAATCGGTGCGCTTCACAGCAGCAGTGTGCAACCTGGATCTTTAACTTTTGGCTCCTGCCCTGCTTTCTCATTTGCTGACAGGCAAGTGTTAGAAGTGCTTTGAAGGATGTGCTGTGATTTGAAGGATGTGCTGTGCTTTGAAGGAGCAGCAGAAACTGCTGATCAGCTTATAAGGACGTTGCATCCAGCCCTCCTCTGCAATAGAGATGGGTTTTGCAAACACAGGTCCTTTGTAGGAAGCAAAAAAAAAAAAATGATAAGGGCATAAACGGGAAATCCTGTGGGCTTCAATGCTATCACAGTGCCAAGCATCTGGGAAATGGTTGGGAATGAGCTGCAGAGCTGCGCTCTGCCTGCAAAGGGGTGCATTCCCCCTCAATATGCATGAGGAGCCATAACAATTCCACAGGAGTGCTAACGGGAGAAGTGTGTGAATGTGAAATGAAATTTAACAGCTCCCTCTGCCCTTTAAACTACACTTACAGAATTAAATGCAGACACAGGGATCATAAAAAAATGTTCTCTTAAAAAGAACAGAGTTTTGACTTTCTCTGAGCACTTTCTTCACTGTGAGTGTTTTCAAGAATTGTTCAGGCACACTCATTTCTACTGTATATTAGCAGAAAATACTTGGTCATCCATTAGTCCCCTGCTGAGTTTCAATTGCAAAGATATGACTGAAAGCTGGTATTAAGTGTGACAGAGAGGCTTAAGAACCATATAGGCTTCAATATTGTATAAAAGACATGAGTCAATAAGGCTTTTCAACAGTAGTTTAATGCCATTAATTTGTATTCTCCTAGCGTGTAGAGTTCGTAGCAGGCACAGCTCAGGTTCCTCTGAAATGGAGGAGTCTCTGTCCCCAGAAGGCTCTGCTCTACCAGAAGTGGAGAGACCAGGGAGGGGAGAGGGGACACAATGGGGAAAATCAGAGTGATTTTTCTGAGGTCACATCTGAGGTCTGTGGTGGAGGCTGTTCATGCAAACCAGCTTTCTCTGTGTAGGGTACCTAGGAAGAGGCACACAACCATATACCAGTTAGAACTTACCTGTAGGGCCTGAGTTGCATTAAACAGCTACCTTAATATTATGCAAAGAAGAAAAGAAAACCAGAGAGGACCCATCCTTAAAAAAAAAAGACACGAAACACAAGACACAAGGAGAAAAAAAACAACCCAAAAGCTTCCTTTAAAACTGCTACTAGAAGTGTGTATTGGAACATATCAACTTAATTTTCTTTAAAATCTACAGTTTATTTTTTAGTGATTTGCTCATGTAAGCAGGCTGACTTTGAGGACAGCCAAAGGTGTACCCTTTTTCTTGGGACGAGAAGCCAGTTTTACGAGATAAGAGATTTGCTTTCCATGAGAAGTGGAAAGGGATGTGTTACGTCCCTGTACAATGTCCAAGCACTGGAATGTACCTGTGTAGTGACAACATGGTTAGTGATGGAGACAGACAGGAAGCAACACAGTACTTGTCTGTGTTCAAATAATGTGAAAAATATTTTATATTTATCATGAATATGTCCCTTCCCAACTCTACCAAAAGAAGTATTGAAGACCTACCCAGGTAGGCACATTACTGAGCCTAGGCTGCAAGCAGGACTAACTGTTTCTTACTAGAAAAAAGAAAAATGAAGTTTTCTTTTTATGATCCACTAAATGGTGAGAGGATATATCCTGTCACAGAATAATACATTCAAGCTTAAATCCCAGGGATGGAAAAGAAGATTTTTATCTTTTCTTGTGTAATTCTTCAAGCAACTTAAATTTCCTCAGAGTATTTTAAGCCTCAGCTAACAGAGTGTCATTCCATACAGTATTTGCCTGTAGAATACTATATTTTGTTTCATGTTTTCACTTCTGTAATTCCAATTCTTCTGTAACATAGCAATGACTTTTGATCAGCCCTGGGTTATTGTAATGGAGGTGACTGCCTACTGAGCCTATATTTGGCATAAAATATATGTTCCTGAGGAGCTCATCTGTAGGTCATTTGCAGGGGATGTTCAGACTGTCTTAAGTATGAACCCCAGATCCCCAGGGGTGTTGTGCTTCCCTGTTAGTGGGCTATACAGCTGGGAAGTCCCGAGACTGAGGCAGTTTTCATTCCTCCCTCCTTCTATGTTGACACTATTTGGAAACAACTTGGGCATCAGCCATGGAATGTGATTTCAGCTTCTTGGAAAGCCACAACGAGGACCTGGTAAGGATTTCCTCTCATGCAGCTGTCATATACGGTGAACCCCAAGAATCTACTCCGTTCTGCATAGCCACTGCACCACATTTCATTTGCAGCTTTCCCTTCCTCAAAACACTGAGCTGGGTTAAGTGGGCAATGAAACACTGAAGAAAATATTTTTTAAAAAAACAGTGGAATTATTACCTACCAAAAAGCAGCAAAGCACTAGGAAGCTTCTTTGATTATTTTTCAATTTATGTAACAAAACATTATTGAGAGGAAAGCATAGAATCAATACTGAGTAGCATTATAGCTAGCTGTGCAGCAATTTAATGCTAGAAACGGATTAAGGTGACAGGAAAAGTCAATGCAGTCTTAAATTAAAGGTGAGGAAAGTCAATGAAAAGTCAAAGCTGGTTAGGAGTCCATCCAGTAATAGAGGCTAAAGCTGTGGTAAGTACAAAGTGCCTCAGTAACCTCACCTTATCACTGTAGCTCTGTGTTCTCCACGTTCGTTCAAAAGAGTAACTAGGTATATGTTTGTTCTCAGTTTGAACCATTAAACCATTTGAATTCATTGGGTTGTATCGAAGAGGATTTGCAAAAGGGGAGAAGTCTGGGGTTTTTATCTTTTCTTTTTTGTTTAGGGAATAAAAAGTGAATTTTTCCCCCTGGGTTTTATTTTTACTTTAGAAAATTCTTTTTCCCTGGAAGAACCTACAAACTAAACTCAATGGAGAATAAACAGGACTATAGCATGACTAGCAACAGAAGAGGCACCTTTGGTTAAATAAGGGGGAATTTTAGCTAAAATGTGGCTTGCTTTCTTATATTAAAACAAATAAAAAGGAGAAAAGTCTGCTGCATTCCAGCAACACCTCTGCCTTTAATTCTCTGGGGTTTAGAAACCCTCTGACAAACTGAGAAAGCACAACCTAATATTGCTCTTATTTCTTAAACAAATAGTAGCCTTTCTCTCTGAATTCTGTCATACTACTAAAAAACATGGCTATTCAACAGCCCTGGTGTGCTGTCAAAAGGCTCTTCTGATGAGTTCTCATACTCTCACTAGAATATAAGGCTGACCAGAAGAGACTGAAAATGTCATGGCAAATTTGTCAAACTTCTTGAATAGCTGTTGATATTTTAACATTTCCTGAACTTTGACCAGTTCTTAGCAGGAACTAGCTCTGGGCTTTGCTAGTAACAAGGAAAAACCGTACTGATGAGGAGACCTGGGTTCTAGATCTTTGGTTGCTCAAAGTGATGCTTTTGTAGCTTTACTTTTGATGATGCTGAAGGTTCAAGGTATGAGTCAAGCCACCTTTTAGTGTTCAGTCAGAGGTGATCTGGAAAATCTGTTTTGCCTATCTTGCAATTGCCAGTACCTAAGATGTCAGGCAGAGCTTTTCCTTGCTTTTAACATCTCCCAGGTGCGTAACCGAACTTGAAGCACATCTTGCACCCACCGATGCCAGGGAACAGGCTGTTGTTTCAATGCAGGCTCTGGTCCCTTGATGCTTAACACTTACCCTACTTGATAGAACAGCTGTAGTAGCTGCAAGTTATACGTTCTCTGGTAAAATACTGTGTTTAACAAAGCTGCTTTACCTATGTACAATCTGTAGTACCAAGGCATGCGCATCTGCCCTCAACCTCCAGGACCAATAGATGGTATTTCAAAACACAGTACTTTGTGACATGAAATAACAGTAAATCCACACTGAAATATGTGTCATGTCTTTCCCTCTCTACAGATGGCCAAATTTTCTGACTGGTGGGGGAGATTGAAATCTGCCATCACAGATTACAGATGATGAGGCAAAGCAGTTAGCATACTGGGCAGAAATTTGGGGGCTGCCGGTGTTCAACTCCAGTTTCCAAACAGTTCCTTGCACTACAAGAGCGGGAGATAAAAAGAGGTGTAACAGATCTAGCCTTTCACTATTGTCTTGCCAACTT